AATCAACATGCTCTGCATTAACTCTAAATAGTAGTTTTATAAGCTTGAAGATTTAAGAAATTGGATTAAAGAATTGTATTTTTCTGGTGTTCGCAGCTAGAAAGCTATATCTAGTCATTGGGGTTTAGATGTCACTATTTTTAATACTCTTTGCCTTGCAAACGAGTTGCTTCATGAGGATTTTTTTATGTTTGCACAGCTAAATTTAATCAGTCTGTTTAGAAATATTTTTTTTGCATTAATATGAAGCAAAGGAGGCTGGAATGACAAACCAACAGAAATGCAGTTTAAATCAGCATATAAAAATGTCTTAATACTCCTTTCAATAGAACAATTCAACTCTAACAGCAATTGTTTCCCTGAATCAGATTTCTCAGCTGCAGTTACCATTGACTCAGTTACCAACATAGTATTTGAGAATAAAATTTTTGCAAATGAACAATTGATTTTCAAACAGCCAACTGCATTATTTAGATAGAAACAGCTACCTTATGCATCACAAAATATTTCAACTGATTCAGTTTCACAGTTAACTAAACAAGTTTTGAAATTAATTGCAGATGATTTGATAAAGAAGGTTTAAGTCTGTCAAAAATGTGTACAAGTTCTTTCAAGTGTGACACGCTGTGAAAATAACTCATTTAATACTGATTCTTTTTAACAAAACCCACTTCACAAAATGGAAACTGTTTTTATAACGCAAATGAAACTTTTATTAAATTAAAAAAACTTTTCTCCTAAAATAAGATTTCCTGCTTATCCATCATATATGACTGTTATATTTGCAAAAATAGTTTTTGATTTTTTATTTTCCTCACCAATAAATATTTCAAATAAGTCAAACTCAGTTAGCCTCATTATTATTAAACTAAAGATATAAATATTTTTGTTGATTCATTTTCTATAAATTTTTTAAACATGATTTGAACTTCAAATAATATTGTTTAAAAACAAGTTTACATGATAAATAAAAGTATTATACTATTACTGTATACACCACAAAACACTCAGTTTAAAACAGATTTGAATGCTGTAATATTTTTTTTTGTTAATGGTTGTACTATCTAGATTAAATTTGGTCGAAAAAGTTCAATGAAAAAGAGGGCAAGGGGAGGGAAGAGGGGTGAAGTGTTGCTCAAATATTGGTTTAAATCCTCTTCTTTAATTTCTAGATTTTTACTGAACATATCTTGTCTTTTAAAAAATATGTACAAAATAATATTTGCATTAATATTTTTTGATATATTTTACAAAAATTTAAATTAAAGAGGTAGGGTCATTCTTTTACCTTTTTTGTTTAAAAGTTAAAAGTACATGGGTTTACTAGTGCCAACTTAGCACTTTTTGAGATAAATTATTTTTTTCTGATAAAAAACTAGTTTTTATTAGGTATTACATGGAAAAAAAAATTGTGCAATAATCTATGAATTTAACATTCACATTTCCATAAACTGCAGTCTAAGATTATTTTTACATACAACTATCACATTAGCGCTGCTTATATAATGACATCTTTTCTTATGTCAACAATTTATGTATCTGTTATATCTATTGGCGATATTTTGCAACGAATTTACATTATTTAAACTAGTATATCTTCTCAACAAATCATGCCTTTGAAATAATTAAATTTAACTATATATTTTTTTAGTAACCTTGATTTTTGAGCAATGTCTACTGTTTTGCCCACTGTGCGCGGGCCAAAAAAAAAATTTTTTTCATTAAAAAAGTTTTGCGTTTAAACTTACATACATTTATTATTATTTAATTAATTTCATAAAAATGTGTTTATTCTTATTTCGAAGTGTTTTAATTTATTTTTATTTTCAATTAATTTTATTCAATTAATAATTGTGTAAGAAAATAAAAAAAGAAAATATACGGACTCTGCGTCTGATTTTTTTCTATATTTAAGTTGAACTTTAATTTAAAAAAATTGTTGTTATTATTATAATTATAAAATGAATATATAAAATAAAATATAGATTTGATATAAGACATTATAGTATTAAAGATGTTGGATAATTTGAAATTAGTTGTGATTTATCTTATCTGCAAAAAGATGTGTATACATACCATTTTTTTTCAAAACTATGTATATATATGGTGGCGCAAAAAGGCTTGTCTTATAAATATTCTATATATTTAGACAATATATATATATTATATATATATATTATTCTTATGAATACTTAGTTGAAAAATGGTGAAAAAAATGTTTATGGTTGTCCTAAAAATTACTCAACACAGAAGTAAAAGTCAAAAGAATATAAAGGGTCAGTTTAAAGATTATAGAAGAAAAACACGTTGGATAAAATGTATTCCTAATACAAATTTTAAAGTGACAAGCAACTCTGTAGTCTGTGAATTAAAATAAACTAAAAGGTAGAGAATGACCAAAAAATCAACGGAAATTTTTTTTTAATTTGACTCATTGCCTGAAAAACCTTGAAAAACCACCAATGGATCTTGAATGTTGTTTGGCTTTGTCTACCTAATCAAAATATCCAAAATGGAAGAGAAAAAAAAGATTTTGTAAAAAAAGAGAACTTGAAATAAAAAAAAAGAGAGATTTTGTATGAAAATGTTGTTGAACTTTCTGTTTGAGTAATATTGTAAAATAATCTTTTTCTGTCTAAAATTTCTGACAAAACATGTAATGCTCTATTTAATCATCCTGAAACCTCGTTTTAAACATAAATGGAGACTGCTGATTTTATTAAACTGGTTGTCACATGGTGGAAAATTTTAAATTTAAAAAGTTTGGGTGTAAATTGTAGGTTTAATGATGATCGACAAGCTGTTATCAGAGATCGAAATGATGAGCGATTAAAGTTTATTTGAGATTTTGAAGAAGTATTTTTACGTATAACAAGAAATCAGGGAAAATACAAAAAACAATTAACAAATGATGCTCGGCATTCCATAAATTATACATATGTAAAGAAATTGTTGAGCTGTCAAAAATACTTATAAGAGAAACACACAATAATGTTGTGCTGTTTTTAAACATGTACCGTAAGCTTGGGTGGCTTTGGCCCATTTTGCATCTTAATGTCTATTGCATGAAAGCCACAAAAGTTATTTCCTCAAACACTAAGTATTTTTAGAAGTGCATAGAAAGGACAGTTAGAACTATCTGTCTCCCATTTGAAAATTATTTACCTGAAGTATCTTCTGGGTGGTTTAAATGGTGGGCCAAAGTCGCTCTATGTGTTAGGGTGACTTTAACCCAACCCTGTAAAAAGAAACTAAAGGAAGCAAAACAACAATAAGAACAACAATATTTAGGCAAAGAAAATAAATTTACAAAAATAAAGTGACAGAAAAAGATTTAGTAACAAGGTTCTTGTATACAGTAAATAAAATATAGGCACAAACTAAACAAGTATAGGTACCAAGTAAACAAAACAGTTTAGGTATAAAGTAAACAAAAATGACAAAAATAATGTTTTAAAAAATTTAGTGAAAAAGTTCTGGAACTGAATAAATTCCTCTTTTCGAAATTTTCTTTGGTTCCTCAATAAAATCGACTATTTCAGACTGGGGAAAAAAAAGTTGCTCTGCTAGTAGTGACCATTTCCAGTTAAAACCATTTTTTTCATAATAGTAATTTCTGCTCCATTTTTTCTTAATTTTTTCAACTGCAGAAAAAACAATTTTAAGAGGTTTTTTTAAATTTTTCATTAGTTTCATTAAATAATATTAGTTATTAAATTAATTAGTTATAAAGTTTACTAATTGATTAGCTAAATATAAATAACTCAAAATAAATAAACAAACCTGTCCAGGATTTAACTCTCCATTGCATTTAACAATTACATAACAATTCTCAACAAGATTTAATAATTTCTCCTTTTTACAAACATTTTTTGTTTTATCAATATTTTGAAAGTTCTTTTTGCCTAATGCTGAATGATCTAAAGATTCTGTATAACTTTCTACAACTAAACTTATATCTGCAAACATTAGATTAGAAGTCTCAGTAGTTCCAGTATTTGTACTTGGGCCAGCAAAGTCAATGTTGTTAGTCTCAATTGTATTTATAATACTGATAGGTGTATCTACATTATTTGAATTTAATCTATTATTTTCATTTATAACATATCTGTTTAACATAAGCTTTTACCTGGGACAGCACATACTTTACGTCGCTTTGGTTTTTAGAACCATCTGAGGGATCATCCCGTGACTTACATAAATGATCTAAAAATGATTGGCTTACTAAATCAGTAGTTGAGTCTAAACCTACATTACAGCATGGTAGTCGTGAAAGCACTTGAGACTTGTCGAATGAAAAAATTCCAGTTTTGCGAAAACCAGCTCTTAGGTTATCATTCCCATGTTCATTTAAGTTGGTAGTTAAACGGTCTAAAAGTCTAGGAAATTCATCTTTAGAAAGAGAGAAACTTTAAAGTTGTCTTGTTAACCTGACAGTTATTCATTGACACTTTTTTTTTTGTCGAAATTTGTTAATTGCTTTAAGTTTATATTTTATGAATTTAAAAATATTATATTTATTTAAGCGCTAACATATATTCTTATTTATAGGTTACCCTAACAGTATTTTAATTAACTTTAATTTTTTACCTGATTTGAAACTTGTTTTTATTTCATTGTTCAGGCAACTTTATAAATTGAAACATCAATTTAAAAATTGTTTATTATATAAATTTTTATTTTATCTGATGCATTTTATAACGAGAGACGTCAAACAGATAATATTCATCTTATTGATTTTATAAAATACTGGTCCCCACATTTTTTTCTAAGTTTTGCGTGTACAGCCCATGACACGATATTTAAAAACGTCGTGATACATTGTTTTTGACGATCTAATTTTGTATAGGTAATATTATTGTTAATGAAAATTTTTTTTGCAACACTTTAAATTTTTCGGTTTTATTTTAAACTTGTTGAAATTTTTTTTCAACAACAAGTTTAAAATAAAAATTCTCAATTTTCAATTTAGTCGTGTTAAAATTTATTTCTTACTACAGGAAGTTCAATGGAAGGTTGTTCGTTGGCTCGATTAGCCAATCCGACATTAAAAGATATTTTTGAATTTGAAATTGATCTTAATGTTGTTGTTGGAACCGTGAGTCGAATGCAGTTTGAAGCTTGCTATGAACCGTTGGATCAAAGTAAAGCATTTTTTCACTATGTCATTAAAAACAACTTGGCTGATGATGTAAATATATGTATAAATTTACCTGAAGATATCGAAAATGAAACTGTTTTTACTGTCTCTGATCAAATTCAATCCAAGCAGTATTTGTCGGGTATAGTGTTGAAAAAATTTATTTATAATAGTCAACCGACAACAAATAATCCACTTGAAACCATTAGTGTGCGGGGAATACAAGGATTATACAGCGAGACGTGTAAAAAAGCAATCGTAGGTTGTTCAGCTTTTTTAAGCCTTAACACTGAAACTAATAATAAAAATAATATGAAACTAAATCTATCAGAGTTGGCAACACAAGCAAAAAATCAGTTAATTTATTTAGGTAACAAACTCCAAGAGTTTATAGAAGTAGATAGTAGGAGTATTGAAATCTTCACAAGATCTTTGAATGAGTTTAATAGGCTTAATGAAATGATAATTGCCAATGATGTTAAAGGTTATGAAATGAATTGGAGTGAAAGTGAATATGAAACTCAATATTCTGAGTTTAGTATTAAAGACGGTTTGTGTTCTAAAATAATAGATTTCGATGATAATAAACAAAACGAAAAACTTGATGACCGGTTGAAAATCAATAATTTTTTAACTGAGCACGAGATATCTTTAAGATGTGATATTCCTTTAAAATCTCTACAGAATGAGATTATAGCTGCTCTTACGGAATGGACTTGTAAGTTTACAGCACTTCAGAGTTTAACTATTGAAATGCAAAAATTTTGTAGTGACATAAAAGTTATTCTTCTTAACTTTTTTAATATATGTTTTGATAAATATGTTTTACAAACCTTTCCAAATATATACTTTAGAGTCCTTGATGATTTAATTTTGGCGTGGTCAAATGATAAAAGCAATTTGAATGAATCGATAAATTTAGCTCGTTTAATTTGCAATATAAAAAGATTTAACGAGCCTAATCTTTCTTATCATATGTTATTTAACAAAGCATTTAATGAATTTATTCAACCTGAACTTAATAATGCAATTAGGTTAATTGAAGAAAGTTTATCTTCTAATAAAAAAAGAATCTCTACTGAAATTCTTATTGATAATGTACCCTGCTTTTATGCGCCATTTTGGCCCGAACCTGCTTCTGCTTGGGTAACAAGAAAAAGAATTTGGCCTGATAATCAACTCGTCGAGTCAATTCAGCGTAATGGCTTTCATTTTGTCCCAAAATCTTTACCAGAAGGTGAGGAAAAATTGGAATGGCGTTTGTCCTTTTCTGCAGCAGAATCTGTTTTAAGTCTACATCGAACAGAAAAACAAAGTTACATTTACTTTCTTTTCAAGTCAGTGTTTTACCGGTTTGTAAAAACGTATTCACTTGAAAAATCATTAACCTCGTATCTATGCAAAACAGTTATGATGTGGGTTTGTGAAAAACAACCACTCTCGTGGTGGGAAGCAATATCACCTGAAGAGGGGGTTTTATATTTGTTAAGGAAGCTTAATAAAGGTATTAAACAAAAAAAAATAAAGCATTACTTTATTGAAGACTTAAACTTACTAGAACATTATCCATGTGATGTTTTAATTTCTGCTAAGTTGAGTTTGTTTGATTTAGAAAATAATTTTGGTTATAAGTTACAATCTTTATTAGAATCAATGAGTAAAAAGATAGAAGGAGCTCAAGATAATTTAACCATGAAGTACGAAAATTTAAAGAACAACATTAAGCAAACGAGTCTTTTTCATTTTTCGGCAGCATTTATTTATAAGCAAAATTCTTTGTATAAAATGAAATGCGTGTTGGTAAATTTAGTTAAAATGTTTTGGTACCAGTATTTTGTGAAAACTAACGGTATTTATGAAGAAATATCTAGAATAAAAGCTCATGCTATATTTGATGCTACCCAAATTGATGCTATTCAAAAAATAATGCAATTCCATGAGTATGAAGTGTTGAAACAGACGTATATGGCCCAGAAAAAAAAACTTGATAAAAACATCTTTCGACTTACAGCGTTAGATAAGTCAATATCTACTTATTTTTCTGGATTAAAATCATTAATAATGCTTAGCTGTTCTAATTGCAGCGTTTGTGGACAAAGAATATTGTGTGGAAGTAAAAGGTTTTTTTGCAGTACCTGCATCAATCAGGAAGGTTTTGAAATATGTTTAATTTGTTTTAATAATACAAAGGATAAGTTTAAATATTCAATTAAAAATCAATTAGATAACACTGATTTACAACTTCCGTATCTTGTTCCTAATTCGCCTTGTATTGCTCAATTTGATAATTTTTCATTGTTTTGTAAAAATAAATCTGGGTTTGAATTTTTTGAATCGAAACAAATGCACAAAGAATCTGACCTTAGGCAAAATTTAAAACTTAACTCGTTTGTAGAGCCAACTTTATTTATAGAAAGTATCAGTCAACAGTTCTTAGAACCTGATGTAAAGGAACAAAACAACTTATCTGTTATCAGTATCTGTCCCTTCTATGAAGAAAATCACCAATTTCAATTGAATGAATGTACGCGTGCTTTTTGCTTTACAAAATTTTATGACCCGCCTTCTGATGAACGCTACGCCAAATTTTTTTTTGACAAAATGCAGCACTGCATACAGAAATACTATGACGTCGCTACTAGGTGTGTTCCTTTAAAATATTCAACAAATATGCGACGAGATTTACCTGGGGAACTAATGAAACAAACCCCCTTGCATAAATATTTATGCCCTGTCAGCGAAGATAATTTGATAAGTAATACAACCAAATCAAAATTTGAAAATAACCAAGAATATTCTTCTGATGTTTTAAAAGACGAGACAGAGAAATTATACAACGAGTTTAATGGTGTCATTAAAAGTTTGAGGGCGGATGAAAAAAGGATTTTAAAATTACGTAATTTAATTCAAATTTTTGAAAACATTTTTTAACCTTGTGGAAATAACATTTATAACATGTAAAACATATTTTTAGTATATTTTAGCCATTTTGACATTAAAAATTTGATCGAAACTTATATATTTGGCTCACTACTAATGTCTACTTTGGATCACTACTACTGCAATCAAAATTTTTTGGAATTTTTGTAAAGAATTTATGACAAACTTTGATAATAATTTTATTTTTAAATAACATGAAAAAGAGAAACATTTAAGTACTAAATAAGATATTTAAATATTTTGTGCTTAATTTCAATAAAGAATCAAAATCAATTGAAAATTGTCTTTTTTCAATACAAAATAAGATACCCGTAAAAATACCACTTAAGACAACTGGGTCAAAAGCAAGTTTGTAAAAACCATAATAAATAATTTAAAGTTACAAAACAAAAGCATTTGCCAATTTTCAGTCAGAAAAAATTCAAATTCGCCGTTTTTCCAATTTAGGGCCGTCCGCTCAAAAGCAATAAAGCTTTTGTAGATCAATTTCGACTTTTTTAATGAACAATAGCTTTTTAAATTTATAAATATCTATGAATACCAGGGCTTGTTTTTTTATAAGAGGCAATTGGATCAAAATCTCCTTAAAAACTTAATCTTTAAAAACTATAAAAACTTTCGTTAAAAGTTAGAGCTCTAAGGCAAAAAAAAAAAAAAAAATTAAGTATACAAGCATAAAAATGATTAAAAGTATATTAAAACGAAATTAATACATACGTAACAATGTAACATCATTTAACACACACACACACATATATATATATATATATATATATATATATATATATATATATATATATATATATATATATATATATATATATATATATATATATATATATATATATATATATATATATATCTACACTAAAACATCTATATTGAAACATCTACAATGAAACTTCTACACTGAAAGTATATTAAGTCAAAATGTTTTACATCGTAAAGTTAGAACAATAAAGGATTTTTTATTTATTTTTGTTTTTATATGCATTGATACATTTGATATACACTGACATTATTGCTTATGCAGACGATATAGCCCTTCAAAGTCCTACTCTTTTTGGGCAACAAGGTTTGGTTAATAAAGCGCAATGCAAAAAACTCTATATCTGACTAAACACTTTATTATAGAGATGTCATAAGTATTCGGTGACTTTCGACAACTTTTTTTATTATTGCTCCAAATATTATTGTTGCTCCAAATATTGCAAAAAACTTGGCTTAATACAAAATTGTAACAAAAAAAAAGCATATAAAGGAATACATTTAACTATTATTTTTAATTTCTGTTTTAACGAATTATTAGCATAATTGATAAAAACAATTATATTAAATCTATGGTAAGTTGTGATAAAAATATTTTCATCGTTTGATGGTAATGAATGACTGTTTTTAAGGGTTTGCTGTGGGTTAAGCAACAGTTTTATGTGTTAACTAATTTCAGTTGAAAGTGGACTTTTTCCGTAACTTCGTACGTGTAATTGGTTTGATCGTTTTTATTTAAATTTCTTTTTCTTACAAAGTGAAGTAGAACCATCACTAGTTAAAATCCCGGTGATGGTTCATCGAGGTCTATCAGCCTTTCACTGAAAAAAATCTTACTTAATCTTTTCCCATTAAAGTATGCCTCAAGTTCATGTAAGCATTCTATAGCAAGCATTCTATAACGGAATTTCAATAGACCTATATAGTCAATTTGGGCGGACCGCTGTAGTTTTGCTCATCGGTCACTTAATTACCCATTAGAAGCAGCCGCCAAAAGTGGCTAGCTGATTCTTACCCACTATTAACATGTTGGAAAGTTATCAGCTTTCCATTTATAACGGCAGCCACTATTGGCCCAATAAGTAACTAATGAGCAAAACTTCAACAAATTGCTAAAAAATGCCTATATAGGTTCACAGGAAATCCACTAAAACAATGTTTCCTAGATAGTTGGAACCCAACAACTATGTCGCCAAATTTTCGGCCTAGTGCCGAATGTTTGGTATTTAGTATTTATCAAAATCATCATTCTAATTTGACATCTCTAATTTTTTATCTTAAAATATAAACAATCGCATTATTCAATTTCAACCAATATCCACAGTTTCTATAAAATCTGGAGTTGGTTTTTGTTAACCGGTAACTATAGTGTATTTGCTCTAATATCTGGCTATACCGAATCTATCAACGGCTCAGAAACTATAATAACACATTTCCTAATAACTTAGAGTTGGAAAAACAGCATTAAGGTTCTTCAAATTACAAAAACGAATTGTCTACCGCGCTCATTCGAAACAAGTTAAATCTGTTTATCTGACTACTGAGCAATCCGACTTGTTTTTCCCTGACTTTGACTGAAATATCTAATATTACGAAAAATAATCAATCTTTTATATTTCTCATTGTCATCCTAATTAAGCAAACAATGCTTGGTGCAATAAAAAATAAACAAAAAAAAAACAACAATTTATTAAACAAAAGCATGCAATCTGAATTATTTTCAATGTGGCCCGTTTTATAAAACAGACCACATTGAATAAATGCATATAAAAATAACAAATAATGCATGAGAATATGTATACACATTCCCAATCATTATTTGTTAGTTCTATTACGAATGTCTACAAAATAAATGTCTATAATCTTCTTATATTTAAGTTGAAAATTAATATAGCATATCTTCTAAAATATTTTACCCACTATTCAAAATAAATGAGAACAGATATCTAACCACATTCTCAAAAAGTTACATTAGATTCAATTTCTATTAGAGGTACAAAATTATGGAATAAAAAGTTAGCTAATTCACTAAAAACAAAAGCAAGGCTTAATGAGTCCAAATTGAGGCAAAAACTATTGATGAACGGCGTAGTGCTTAGCTTTTTCTGTTAACTGTTGCGACTGATAAACTTACAAAACCTTTACAAGGTTAGTATCACTTTTTTTACGATAGAAATTATTCAGAAGGATGTTAATATTAATTCTTTTTTATGTGCTCTTTTGCTTTTGATATATATTTTTTATTATTATAATTTTGTTTAAGTATCTTATTACAGAGTACCATGGATGAGCATTTATTTGGAAGTTCACGCCTTCTTTCTAACCGATGTCGCAAAAACTCCAGAGGTGGGGTTTGAACCACGGAACCTTTGTTTCTGAAGCAAGTACGTCACAACTGCTCCACGGCTGCTCATATTTCAGTTTTTACAGAACGAATTCTAAACTAGAATTCTAAACAGAAGATAGTAGTTTATTTTAAGTTTATTGTTCTTCTATTTAGTTGAGCAGTTGATACACTAAGATGATTTTTTTGCTCGGATCACGTTTTTAATATGCAGAAAAAAATATACCAGTTGATTGATGTAATAAAGTTTAATATTGAATCGTAATCACCATTGCTTTAACTAAACAACTAAGATCACTTTCCGGAAACGGTTTGAAACTAAAATTCCTCAAGTGATACTAAAGCCGCCCTCAGTATTATTACCTAATATAGCATTAGAAGATAATTTTAAAATAGAATTACTGGTCTAAATAAATAATAAGTCCATTATATGGTTTGAGAAACAATAGGATGTCTAGACGTAGGAAATGTGATATGTAAAAGTTACAGACAATGAAATAGCCATCATAGGACTTCCTAATTAAGCTTTGAGGTAATTTGAAGGATTCATCGATATATTATAATAAATTAGCACCATTTGGTTTATGTATAACCTAGATAAGTATGTTTTTATTGTTATTTTTTACAGATACCAATATTTGTTTGAGAAAAGCTTTGTAGAACTAAATACCTTTATATTAGTAATTAGTAAGATAGTCTCGACGTCTTGCTTTAGCAATCTTTTTTTCAAAGTGAGTTAATGTTTTAATTTAAAATTTGTTGTAAGCGAAACAATTAAGCATTATAATCGCAATAATTCGCCTGTTCATTTATGTTCACTAGATGCTGAAAAGGTTTTTGACAGCTACAACTGGGATGTTCTTTTTAATAAACTTTATTTTGATAAAAATCTACCTCTCCAAATAGTTAACAATATATCTTCTGTATACCGTAGCGGCAGTGCAACTGTCTCATACCTAGGTTGCAAATCAGTCTCATTTGATCTTAAGCGAGGAGTGAGACAAGGATCGATTTTCTCACCCTACCTATATAACATATACTCGAAACTATAAAAAATGATGAAATTGTTGGTACTACTATATATGGAAACTTGACTTGTGTTGTAGCTTATGCTGACGACATCATTCTTCTCAGCTCTACTCTCTCGGGCCCCTTAATCATCTCGGCTTTACTTGGGATACAATAAAATCAATTTTTGCTTCACTAAATAGAATAAATATTGATAGTAGGTATCAAATTTCCGGGCAACAGTGCAAACTCTTATTCAATCTGGAATCCGGTTTGCACATCCAAGTTCTATTATCCAATTATATAAATCATTAGCAGTTCCGACGTTAACCCACGGTCTAGAGCTCTGTGAAAATAAAGATGCAACAATGAAAAGACTCGACACATTTGGAAGGAACGCAGTTAAATCAACTTTTAATGTCTCCAAGTATAGTAAAAACTATATACACTCTCTATTTAAAATTAAGGAGATGTCAAATTATATACACCAAAACAAAATAAATCTATTTATCCGCCATTTAAACAATAAAGTAACCTTTGAAATCATTAACTCCCAACTTAACTACTGTTCAGCTAAATTTTCTTTTTTAGATGATATAAAAGAATTATGTGATAATCATAAACTGAATATGAAAACCTAATGCTGGTTAAAAAAAAAAGTAAAACTTAAAGTCTTAGAGGGTGTAATTCCTGAAGCTACTCTTCATATTTTGGTATACGCGGTTCAATGTTGGAATGTTAAAGAACAGCGAACAATTTTTAAAAAGACATTTGAAGAAAACATTCCTAAATAATACTTTATTTTATCTCTTTTTTCTAGTTTGTGTTTTTATCTTGTAAATTTATTTTACAGAGGGTGATTAATAAAATAATAATAATAACAACAATAGCTTTACTATTGTACTTTGCATTAAAAGTTTACGATATCATGCCTACCCCCTAACTAAAGTGTATATTTATGAGTTAATACAGTTTGTTTTAATTTTTTAGATATAAATAAATAAAAAGCTCACTATTTAAAGTATTAGTCAAGATTAGTATTAAAGCTAAAAAAATAGTCTAAAGAGTTTTTAGCTATATAATAATAACAAAAAGTACTTAAGTTGCTGTTTATATACATGCATATTTTTAAAAATGACAACTTTTAAATAAAAAAATTTGAAAAAATTGGCCTGGGCCCCTATTAACTCTGGACCCTCCTGATGTATATATATATATATATATATATATATATATATATATATATATATATATATATATATATATATATATATATATATATATATATATATATATATATATATATACATTCTACATATACACACACACATTCTAATTCAAAAATTTACCGATAACTGAACCTAGTTTGAATCATGTCTCATGTCTATGTAGACATAATTAACATATGTAATGGCTTTTTATTAATAATTATTTTTATTTGTTTTTTTTTTCCTGATTACTAAGATTATATATTAATGTTAAAAATTGCATTACATTTCTTAAACGCACTTAAAAAACACATTCGATGTTTAAAAAAGTAACTTTAATTTAACATCATAATTTGAGGCGTAACTGAAACATTTTTATAAAGCAACCAAACACAATAAAAAATATAATATAAACAGTTTTTAATTTGAAAAATGTTTTTGTTGAGAAAAGCCATGAACTGTAACAAATTCCTTTTAATGGTGTAATTTTTTATTTTTTTAAATATCAATTAACAATCCTGTTTGTTTGTTTCTATCCATTTCAAAAGTAGTTAGATTAGCGTGAGTGTCTGGGTTTAACGAGTTACTTAATTCGAGGTTGTCGGCACAAATGTCACTAGGAGGTGTCGAGAAATTAACTGACTGTTTGTTATCGAAAATTGAATCATTATCGTTCGTCAATATGTTTAACGTTTTAGGATTTTCAAAAGAAAAAATATCGTTTTTTGATTCATCTTCGAAACTTAAGCTATCAAAAAATAAATTTTCTTGTTTTATTTCCGTAGGTAGATTATCTCCATTACTGTTTTCCGTTTGCTTCATAGATTTTTGTAACAATGTTGCGAAACAATCGAAATTATACTTGTTTTCCATGATTGCTTTCAACTAAAAAAAGAAAAGAAAAGAGAGATAAAAACCAACTAAATCAAAAACAAAACAAAACAAAAAAAAACAACAAATAAACAAACCTGTGAATTAAATTCGGATTTAAACAAGTTCATTTCTTTGCGAAAACCACGAGAAGCCTCAAGCGTTTTTGCTTGGCATTCACGTAACTCGGCAATTTCTTCTAAGTTTAACTGCAAAAATCAAACACACACATAAAAATGATAGCATGTAATCAGCCAATCAGAAATCATATCAAAGTTTCTTTGTTGATGCTCGTCACTGCTTATTATTCTTAAAAGTTAAAAACATAGTAAAAAAAAAAAATACCTGCATTTGTTGTAGACCTTCACAGGTAACTGCATATTTCTTTTGGATTATTTTCGGTCTGAGGATTGGTTTTTCTCCTTTCATATAACTAGAAAATGATATTTATAAAATAAATTATCCTTTGAGTAGAAAAAAATTAGCATTAGTTTTATACTTTTTACCTGTTGAATTCATCTTCAGATATATTTAACGACTGCGCATCTAAATTATCGGTAATGAACGAAACTGCACAACACTAAAAAACAGTTTTGTTTGAATTCATATAAAATCTCATTATCAGAATCAAAACACATTAAAAAAACCAAAAACATTTATAAAATATATTATATATATATATATATATATATATTTATATATATATATTATATTATATATATATAAATATATATATTAGTGATTCATTCATGTTAAATTAATTCACACATTTATTTTCACATTTATGAATCTATATAATTTTTACTTCTTGCCTTGTTTAGTCTAGATAGTTTACTTGCTTTACAAATTTAAATATATTGGGACACAATAATATATATATATATATATATATATATATATATATATATATATATATATATATATATATATATATATATATATATATATATATATATATACATATATATATATATATATATATATATATATATATATATATATATATATATATATATATATATATATATATATATATATATATATATATATATATATATATATATATATATATATATATATATATATATATATATTATTGTGTCCCAACAACTTTTTTAAAAAATGTCTGCTTCCATCCTCTAAATGTGTTCTATATAATAAAATAATACTGGAATAGAAAAAAAAATATTTTATTTAAAAATTAGAAGAAAAAATATTTTAAGCAAAATAAAAATATCAATTTTAATTATTGTTCAAAATAAACGCATTTTGTTTAAATTAACAAAAAATGTTATATATAAATATTTTTATTTAGACATGATAAACTTTAATGTTAAAAACTATTTTTTCATGTCTTTCTAACAATTCTTTTCAACAATTATTTTTTAAAAAACGTTTTGGAAAAAAAAAACATGTTTATATAATTTAAAAATATTATATATAACACTTCCTAATAATTCAAATAAAATTTGTTCGTTTATAAAACACTAATCAGAAGTAATTTGTAACTTAATTTAAAAACGTTTAAAGATATTATAACAAGCATTAAAGATTTTATCACTTGTTAAAAATAATCTGTTAATAGCAATTTTGAAGATTCAACTACAGTTAAATGAGGACATCCGTAAATGATACTAATCATTTCATAGACATCCAGCAATAAATAAAGGTGGGAGGTGAGGTAGGAGTGGGGGTAGGGTTTGGATGGAGGAGAGGATACTGAAAACTTTGACAATAATTGACAATTGGGAAGGGGGGGGGCGTTAAATCCAAAATGATATCAAAATAAAATATTTAAGTTTATATGGCAGATTTTAAACGTATTTACATCTACAATGTGGTATAGAAATGGTGTATTTGCATTGTGGGAATTTGATATAAATTTCTCAAAGACATTAAATAAATTAAAAAACCAATGTTTTTTTATTGTATTACCATTTGACTGCAAATCTAATTGTTTGTAAATATCAACTAATTGTATATAAAATGAACAATTGCTATTTGCTCCCGAACGGATTATAAAATGTGCTTCAAAGCAAACACACAAAGTCATTGGTCTTATTGATGGTCTCATATGGAAATGCTTATCCCGATAAAAAGAAGGCTAATATTCAGAAAGAAGTCCATAGTCTATGGAACTCATTAAAGGAAGAGAAACTCAAGCATAAGGATCTTGAATCAAAGTTAATGTATATAATCAATTCGTTGAATGAAAAGCAATGAAGTTCAAAAGCAAGTAATTGTTGTTTTGGGCCAATACTCCAAAACAGTCAGCCTCCACGTATATTCCTCTTGAATTTGACAAGTTTGTAGAACCCATTAAGATTGATCTTTGATTAATAATCAAGTCCATTAATTTCCAATTTGTTGACCACTAAAAATAAAACAAGAACAGTGGCTCAAGATCATATCAACTCTGAGATCTAAATTGTGAAGTTGCTGGACTGAAGACTAGAAAGAGAAGCGAATTAATTGCTGAAGCTGAAGAGGATGATTTGAAAAAGAAAAAGAGGAAACTAGCTAATCTAGTCAAAGAGCTGATCAAGAAAAAGTATGATCAAGCTCAACAGAAGAAAACTAGAGAACTGAAAAAAGCTAGAATAGAGGAAATCAGAAAACAACAAGAGTTGACAAAGGTTATGCTAACAGGAACATTTTACTGAGACTACTAATAGTTCACAAAAACCAGTCATGCACACAATTACACATACATAATACATAGTTTGAGAATAAAAAAATTAACAATATTTCATCAAGTTAAACTAAGCAAACATGTTACCAAATTTGTGAAATAATAACCTCCTTCACCAGCCATTAATTTGCTTGGATTACAAAACCGAGTTATATATCTATACAAAAAAAAAAAAAAAAAAAAGTCAAAAAAATCAAAACAAATTATTAAAAAAGAAAAAAATGTTTAAAGAACAACATACTGAATATTTGAATGTAGCAAGGTTGGATTGCACTTCAAAACAACATAAATAAGAGCAGGTAGAAAGTCGTCAGCACTTGCAATGAGTTCATTTTGAGCAATTTGAAGCATCTCTTTTGTAAGTTAAGAAAATATTTTATTTTAATTTAAAAAGAAAAGCAATAATTTAATATTAAAAATTACAAAAGTAAATGAAAAGATACGAAATATTGCAATGCTACAGTTAACAATACAGGCTAACTTATCTTGAGGAGCTCTTTTAGTATTCATCTCTTGTAAGTCTAGGGAATAAAAATAAATTTTAGTTAGTTGCAGATACAGCATTTATATAAACTTAGCATCATATTAATTAGACAAACTTTTGTGTTTGAAAAAGTAGAAAGATAAAAGCTAAATTGTTTCCAGGAAAAAAATAAATAATTGTATGTTTACAATATTTGAGTGACTTAAATATTTATTAAAACAAAATATTAAATTGAAACCTTGAAAAGCTTTGTTTAAAAGTTTCTGGACATCCGAATTGTTTAGGTCAATATTAACTTCAAGCTGTTCATAAGTGACCCAATGTAAGCTGCGTATTTTTTTTTGGATAGAAATATCTTTTTTCTCGTCATCACTTGATGGCTGACTAAATGCACTAAATTTAAAATAAAAAATAATTTACTAATATAAATATATAACATAATATTATATTAATATGGTAGTGGTGTAATGGTAGAACACTTGTGAGCAAGAAGTTTTGAGTTTGATGCCTACCATATTGATGTACCTTGTTAAACTTTTTTTGCAACAAACTTGTTTGTCAAGGCTTATGTTTTGGGGTTATTAAGTTGAGTTTATATTTATGTGTGTGTGTGTGTGTGTGTGTGTGTGTGTGTGTGTGTGTGTGTGTGTGTGTAAGTATATATATATATATTATATACATATATATATTATATATATATAATGTATATATATTTATATGTGTATATATATATATATTTATACATATAAAATCATATATTATCTATATGTATATTTGTTTACATTAGGGCTTAGTAAATGGTTAAAATTGCAACAGGTTAACAGGTTTAATATTCAGTTTTCTCAAAAACAAAAACCGTTTTTTTTCTTTCTGTTTTAGACACGTGGCATGTGGTATCCCACTGTAAGTTTGAATTAGTAAAATTAAAAAAAATTATTTTAACTTTCATTTCTTTTGGCATGCATATTTTTTTAGTTTAGTTAAGACTAAGTTTATATCATACTTTTTTAACCATTATTCTACTATATTCTATATTCTCTATTATTTTAGAATTAGCTATTTTAAACATGTGACAAGTGGTATGACACTGTAAGTTTAAATAAGTTGTAAAATTAATTTTTTTATATAGTTACTTGCATTTTTTTTGGTCTGCATATTTAATCTTGTTTTGATTTATCATAGTTTTTAAAAGGTTAGAGACTTTATTTTTTGCTCCTGATAGGTATTGATGTATGTGAAATGTATAGAGTCTTTCAGTTATCAGATAATATCAAGGTAATCTTATACTTTTTTTTTAATTTACATTTTAATAAAGATATAATTTACTTGTTCCATTTAACTTTATCTTTAAAAAAACGATATCAGAGATAATTAAAATAACAAAATTTAGAATAGAAATTTGTATATAATGAATTACCAAAAACATTTTCTATAGTGCTATCAGTAACATTTTATTTTGGTTCTATACTAGGTATGTTATTAAATTTCCATATTTTCCTTATTTTATTTTATATTAATCTTTAAGGAGTTGTCAGCATGGTGTCCGATTTAAAGTGCGAACCTGTGTACGAGTAACAACAGTATTCAAAACCAAAACCTATTTAAACCAACCAATCCAAAACCAAAACCTATTTAAACCAACCAATCCAAAACCAAAACCTATTTAAACCAACCAATCCAAAACTAGCGACAAAAAATCTTGGCATTGGTTTATTTTAAACATATATTATATATATGTGTGTTTTTTATATAAATGTACTAGCTTGAGTATAGTGTATCAATTTTTTTTTAATGTATTTTTATTGTAATTTAGAGTATATTGGATTAAATGTTATAAATATTTGATTAGTTTTCAATTTTCGGTTAAAACGTTTTAATGTAGAATATCGAAATAAAATAATGCAATTAAATAAAAATGCAAACATTAACAAATATAAGGATTATTTGGTTATGAAGTCACAATTCTGGCCTCTCTAATTTTAGATTTTAGTGATTTTAACGAAATAATCACTAAAATAACTTATTAACACATTTATTTCATAGGAATAACAACCGCGGAAAATTTGCTGCCTAGTGTAATAACTCCTTAATTTTAATGGATTATTCGTTGCACTAACGAAATAAATCCGTAAATTCAACAGACTATTCCTAACAGACTTCAATTCGTTAAAATTTTAATTTGTTAACTTAACGGATTTCATGTTAGTGCAATAGCGACAGATACAATTCGTTGTATATTACGGATTTTTTCTTAGAGTGTAGTAGTTTTAGTCAAAGCTTGCCAACTCTATTTAGATTTTTAATTCTTTAAAATATACGTAATCGATATTGTAAAACTGTCACTTGAAAAAGTATGTCTTTGTTGCTTTGACACAAAGGAAATAAGTATTGCCACAAGTATTACAAATTAAGTAACAATTTTTAGAATATAAAAAATTGTACACAATATTAAAAAAATTGACAACTACAAGTTTTCCATTAAACAATTTTAAAATTGACTCTAATAATGATACGTTTTTTTGCAATCTTTAACAATAAATATTCAATCTTTAACAATAATTATTCAATCTAAATATATTCTTGCATTACTAAATAAGAATTTTGAGAATATTTGTTCCCGAGGATAAATTGACCAAATAAATGCTGTTAATTAAATTAAAACTAGAAAATAACTAAAGAAATTCTTTAGTAATTTATGATTAAAAATTTTTTTTTCTATAATCTGAATAAAAAAATATTTTAGATTTCTACAATGACAATCTTTCAAATGAAATTTCAATAAGTTATTAAGTCTCTAGACCTATACTTTAGAGACAAAAATCACACTAACATGGAGACGGCTAACATGGAGACGGCTAACATGGAGACGGCTAACATGGAGACGGCTAACATGGAGACGGCTAGCTTCAACTAATACTACAAACTTTTATTGCCATACCTTTACTATTTTGTTTTAATCAAAAAAAAATTGAAAAAATTCACACTTTTTTAAAACATTCTCTTTAATATAAACACAAGTTATCTTGGCACTTGGGGATCCCTTTAACAGCTTTGCAACAAGTTTTCATGCTTTTGAATAAATTTAAAAATAAATATTTCCATATTTTTTCTTTTTTTCATATTTCATTCAAAAATTCAAGAGTCTTAAGTTTTTTGGTCTTTTTTAAACTGAAATTGTCAACCATTGGAATAAAAATGTCTAGTCAAGATCCCCCAAAAGTTTTCAATGGAGTTCAAGTCTGGTGACTTGACAGGTCAGTTAAAAACATTAATTGAACTTTTAATTAGCTAATCTTTTGTCACCTTTGATGTGTGAATACTTGCACCATATAGCTGAAAAATGGAATCTTCAATGTAATTGAGGTGAAAAAAAGACTTAAATTTATACTATAATCTTTTGGTAACCATCAAAAAAATGAAAGTTGAGACTTTCCTAAAGCAATAAAAACTACCCATTGACTAAACCTCCACCAGGATGTCTTTAAGAAAAAAAATTGTTCTTTCTTTGCGCAGATCATGCCTAATACTGAAAGCCATCAAAGCCAAATTAAACTTTTTTTATCTGAAAAGATAACATTTTTGCATTCATCATCCCATCCCTTTTTATCTTGTGCTCATGTAATCCATTTGGTAATGTAATTTTTTGTCAACAAAAGTACTTCTTCCTTTTTGGTATAAACTAAGTTTGAAAATTCATTTATTATTGAATCCTAGATATGCCAACAGTTAATTGAAGCTATTGCTGAAGATCTCTGGATGAAGATAATCCTTTTGATGCTTCTAGAAGGTGCATCATCACTGATTTGGTTAATTTTGGAGGTACTCTAGACTATAAAGATAGTTATAGTCAAACAGTTAGACTATAGCTATCGGGATGCTTCAAATAACTTGTAATTATGTCACTTGATTAATTTATTTAATTGATTAATAATTTAATTATACAATTCTTTTTAATGCTGAACCCTGCTTTTTTAAATGCAATAATTTGATCACCTTCAAAATCAGTAAATTTTGTTTATTTGGGAATAATTAAAAACGATGAATCAATTAAAAATAATATAAAAAAGTAATTTTTTGTACTTAAGATTATTATGAGGTCAGTGGTATGAATGAAATAGTTAATAAAAACTTTTTGAAAAAGCAAAATTAACTAATTACTTTAACAATTGTAAATAAAAAAATTTAGGATAATGAATTCTTTATCTGTTCTGAATAATGAATACTCGATCTGGTCAGGATAACGAATACTTTATCACCTTAGTTTGTCTTAAAAAAAGATTTTTTTGAGTTGAAAAGCAAAACTTTGCTTTTCATAAAATATTTTTAAAAATTTACTCACATTTTATAAATATGTGTCATAATATATTTTTCAATGTTATCCATCATACGCTCAAGTTTTTCTGCAGGCAAATCACGAAATGAAGGATGGGACTGAATATGATTTCCCATTTTCTAAAATAAAGACTACACATCATCAAAAATTTGAGGAGAAATAGCAAGTAGATATGTTAAAGTAACTTTTTAGGCAATGTTTTAAATATAATAAGTGTTTAAACAAATTCAAGAGACAATGTTGAAAAAGTATATTTGAGATTTAATAGATAAAAATACTATTAAATATTTATTGCATCAAAAACCAGAGTTAATTTCAAAATGCAAACACAAAAACAAGTAAAATCAAAATGATATTTTGAAAAACAGATTATTCAGGTCATATTTCAAAAATCCTGAAAATTTTTACCTAAAAATATCCAGAAAAAATAATGAAATAAATTTTAGGAAATAATTCGGAAATATGAATGCATTTTGCGTAATTAGGAACATCTCATGTGTTTGAAAAGAAATGCATTACTTGTACACGCATACATATAATGTATAATAAAACATAAAATATAAACATTATTTGTACAAGCAAAAATTTAAATACTTTAATTTTTGACATAAGCAAAACAGTGGTGTCAGGCTTTGATGTTATGAGGCTTGGCTGACAAGTTTGCAATTTTTTTTTTTATTTTCTTTTAGAGTTTTACTTCGAAGTAGTTTTTTGTTTTTAACTATTAATGTTGTCAACTTTTTAAAATTTTCTATTAAAGTTTTATAAACTAAGTGCATCAATGCAAATATAAATCAACTGTTGTAGCCCTAGTCATAGTGGAGTGTAAACACATCGACTGACAGAAGGTGCAGTGGTGTCTACATACATCGACTGACTTTATTAGAAACAGGTGCAGTGGTGTCTACATACATCGACTGAGGGTTTAGGTTTTGGCTTTTCTATATATGAAAAGTACTCCAATACTTATTTAAATAGGGTTTACAAATTAATTATTATACAAATTAATATTTATATAATAAATATTAATTTATATAATAAATATTAATTTTTATATAAATTTATATTATATAAAATATTTATAATTTTATATTACTATATTTATAATTTTATATTATTTATTATATAAATTTATATAATTTATATAACAAATACTAATTTATATATAATAAATTAATATTTATATAATAAAGGGTCGATGTAGGTTTTTTTATAAGAAAAGTACATCAATACTAATTTAAATAGGGTTTATAAATTTTTTTTATATGAGTTAATTTAATTTATATAAAAAAATTTATAAACTAAATTACACTATATTCTTAGGTGAAATAGTCAAAATAATTAATAATAAATATCGGCAAACAAATAAGAAAAAATAATTGCACACCCGTACAAATAATCTCCAACCTAACTAAATATAGTATGGAGTAATTGATAAACAATACCTTAGCTGTTTTAATTATTTGATAACAAAGTTACAAATAGATAAATAAATTTTTTTTGTATTTCTAAACTATTTGGATATTCAGAAAAAATAAATTCAGAATATAAATATAAATATTCAGAATTCCAGAAATCAGAAAAATTCTCTGATAAAGTCTCTGATAAAAATAAATAGTCTTAATAACTAAATCCTTAAAATGGCAATTTCATGAGGTGCTACAATAAGCTGGCTTTGATTTGCTTTTTCTGAATGTTTCACAAGGCTTATATTAACACTAAGTTTTAAATACAATTTTTCAGAGTTTTCCATAATCAGAGTTTTACAATCCAAATTTTGTATTATTATCAAGGTTGAAACACAAGGTTTAAATAAGTGATGTCCTTATTGTAGGCTATTTTCTGTCATTCTGCATTTTTTTTCTGCCCACTTGCATCGGTATTGGAATTGATGCCGAAGGATAAAAAATGCTGAAATACCTGATAAATAAAATAACAATAATAACAATGTTTCTGGCCAGAATTATCACAATGATCATAATTATCATATTTTTTTTTAGAGTCGATTTTTTTAGGTCTAAGGCAACTGTATATCTTATTGCATAGAACACTATGCACAATCTACAATCGAATCAAGTTCTCTAACAATTAATCAAAAAACATAACTACAGTACCTAAAAATACAAAACATTAACATATTGTTTCTTTTACAAATATTGGTGTCTTTAAAGTAAATTATAAACCATTCAACTTCTTGCAAAACCACTACTTGTTATTTGTAAAACTATTTTAAATTTCATTACTGGTTTCATATTTAAGTTACTGGTTTCATACTTAATTAGCTCATATTTAGGTAACAGTGTTAATTGTTATTATCCTTTGATTTGCATAATAAAAATTTGCAAGAATAAAAAATACAGAAAAGTCAACAAAACTTGTTATTTACAAGTATACAGTATGATTCTGAGAAGAAGTACTACCCTACAACACAAGTTTCTTGTATCAAATATAATAAAATTTATTAACAATTATCTAGAAATTAAAATAGTTCATTTAAGTATAAAATGTTTGTAGCAATAATAATAAATTTAACTTAAAGCAAAATTATATAATTTATTATAAAATCATGAGAATTTATATCTTATCTGCGTGTAGTGGTAGAACGCTTGCCTTATAAGCAAGAAGTTCCGCATTTAATAACCACCAAGTCACAGGCAGTACCGCGCTCAACTTGTTTCTCCATGCAGCGACCTTGTTTGTCAAGGTTCGTCTTATATAGCATATATTACATGATACTTTTTTAATGAAAATTTCATTTAAGACTATTAAAATATTTCATCAAAACATTAAGTAAAATTTTGAAAAAAAAAATTCACTGATTTAACTTACCACATAAAAATCCTGAACAATCAAACTCTGTTGCTGTACAGAAAGCTCCTGATTTTGCAAAATACCAATAATAAACCTAAGTTTAAAAAATTTAAATTTGAAATAAATAAAATTTATAAAAAACCAAAACTTATAAAGCAAATTTGTATGTCAACTTGAACATCTAGGTGTCCATAAAGTGCAATATAAAACCTTCAAATGGCCAAAAATATCTTTAAAGAAGTTACTTGAGCGCAGTAGAAGGAGGCATGTGTAAAAAACTAGCCAGCATCATTTGTGAATTATAAAATCATTCAAGCAATCAAAAATCAAAAGTTGATGTACTAATTAACTGCAGTGGTTGTTGAAGGTACTGTAATTGCAAAATTATGGGGTTTACTCATTGCTTGCCATCAAAAATTCTGGATATTTCATGAAAAAAGCAAAAACTTTTGACAATATTGCCCAATATAATCTACCCAAAACTGCATGTATTTTTCTAGATAATCGAATTGAAAATCGTATCAACAATGGAATTTAATTTCCTTTTTGGTGTAGTCAATTACATGTGTAAAAACTCACTTTAGGAAAAAAAATTAATGTTTTGGCCAACAATTTTAACAACAAATTTAACATTAATCAAAAACCACTGTAATCTTAAGATGGCTAGAACTTTTATCTTTTAGATCTTATTTTATTCTGTTTTTAATTTTCTTATATATAATATAAAAATACATTTGCAGCATAGAACTGATGTAAAAATTTTTAATAAGTCACAAAATTTATTCCATTTTACATTTCCTGGTTTAGATTACATTTCACTAATTCTTTATCAGAAACTAAAATTATTTATCAGAAACTAAAATTATTTATCAGAAACTAAAATTATTTATCAGAAACTAAATATTACAATTGTAACCATGGTAATATTTGAACTAAGTAAAATTAAAATAGCATTACATAACTTTATGTCAGCTCATTTGATAAGTAATCTCAGAAAATAGTAGTATTTGTAGAAAGAAGAAATAAACACGACATTTCTATGACATTTGCAAAATGTAAAAAATATTGAAAAGTAGATTCATCTACAATTCACAATATGTTTTTTACATTATGTCTAAAAAAAATCATATTTAGAAGACTCTAAGACATATGTGTAGTGCTGTGTATGTAATATGCTTTTTTTTTTAATTGAACGCTGTACTTCCAAAACGTGGCAAGTCACATTTTTTTCAAAAGGTTATTTAAAAAAATTATTTTTTCAGGAAAAGTTGATGCTTCGGATAAATTTTTTTTTCTGATTTAAGATCTTTATATTACTTTATATGATGTAAGCACTTATTACTTTATATGATGTAAGCACTTATTACTTTATATGAGCTACAAAAAAAATTTTCATACAATTTTTTACAGGAGAAACATTTTTCACTCATACAGTGTTCAATTATGCGTAGTACTTAGAATTAGTTTACACGTTTATAAATGTTTAATATTAGTTTACATTAGAGCCTACTGCTATTGTGAAGAAATAAAAGAGAAATAAACATGCCAGTTAAGAACATATTATAATCTTAATGATTGGTACATTGAGAAAGTTTAGAGCAGGTATAAATTAATTAAAGTTAAAATGTATACAAAAAAACTATAAAAAATACTCTGTCAAATGTTGCTTTTAAGTCACGAAGGGCTTTGGATCAGACAGACTTTAGAAAACACATTAAAGTGTTTGTGACAGAAATGTGAACATAGAAAAATCTCAGGAACCATACTAATTACTAAGCATGGGTCAGAAACTCCATATAGTAAAAGCACATGTTTCTATTTTGCTTCAGAGTGTTTTTAGTGAACAAACGTTTAATGTCAGAACATACACAGAGAAAATTTTTTGGCCTATTTAAATAAAATTCCATCTAATCCAAGATAAGTGACAATTTCAATTTTGAAACTTATCACTAATGTGACAAAAAATTTCTAAAATACAAGTTTTAAAAATAAATGTTCTCTATTAAAAAAATTTGACATTTTCTTTATAAAGAACATTTTAGATTTCTGGAAAAGAAAGTTTTATTTTTAGACGAAAAAAAAAGTTGATAGTTTTCTAATGTTTTAAATTTTAGAAAGGACTTGTAAGCAAAGTAAATGGGGTAAAAAAAATTTTTGTGGCACTTAACATTCAGCTTTCTACACATGGTATAGTTTTGTTGAATAATAAAAAATATTCGACAATTCCAATATGTTATTTTTAGTAGTTATGCACTGGCCTATAAGAAAAAGAACTTAATAAACTTCAGCATCAGGCCTTGTTTTAAAGCGATACAAAGCTTGCAATTTAGGTATGTGTTAAACTAGTTTAAATAAAGCAATTTTGGTTGTGCAACTTTTTAATATTTTTTAATAATTAAATAATTTGAAAGATATCTTTTAGGTGGTAGGATAAAAAAAGTAATTAATGTTATAAACTTGAATGTTATAATGCTTGAATGACATTTATGTAAAAAAATTTGTTACAAAAGTTTAAATAATAACTACGTTCAATATAAGCACTATTAAAAAATAGAATAAATTCAGATAAAACTAAAAACAAATGCAATTTAATTTCTATTTAAATTTTATTTAAAAATATTACAATAGATTGTTTAATAAAAAAAATTTTCCTTAAAAAAAAATTAGTTTACTTTCACTCTAATGTTTTTTTATTTTTTTTTTTACTAAAAATTAAATTTCTTACGAACATGTATGTTACACTTTTTTTTAACAAACGTTAAACTTTTTTTTTGTAATAAGTTATACTTTTCATTTGTTAATCACTAAATTTTTTAAAAATGAAAAATCATTAGCAAAGCTGCAATTATGAATTTAAGAAAATTACATTTTTTATTTAAAACAAGGCCTGCAACAAGTTCAGAAAGTAAATATTTCATAAAAACTATAAAATTCTTTTTGAGTCTTGATACAACTTATTCAAATTAGTTTTAGTTATTTGACATTATACTAACCTTACATACATATCAGGGTGTTTAATCAAATTATATACATATCTGGGTGTCTAACCTAAATCAATCACTTTTTACTACCAAAGGTTTGAACAACACATAAAGTTGTTGCTGGATATTTCTACAGATAAAACATGTCAATAGATGTTTTTAAATATAAGCAATTATAAATAATCAATTCAATTTATGGATGTATTGTTAAATTTTATTCTAATTTAATTCAAAAATCTTTTAAAATTTTAACAAAAAATTCTTATAGCATAAAAAATGTTAACTAAAACCATAAATTAAAAATACAGAGTCATGATTAAAAAGATGGATTCTTACAATGAATTAAAAGATGCATTCTTACAATGAGTTAAAAGATACATTTTTACAATCAATTAAAAAATGCATTCTTACAATTAATTAAAAGATGCATTCTTACAATTAATTAAAAGATACATTTTTACAATTAATTAAAAGATGCATTCTTACAATTAATTAAAAGATACATTCTTACAATTAATTAAAAGATACATTCTTACAATGAGTTAAAAGATACATTCTTACAATGAATTAAAAGATGCATTCTTACAATGAATTAAAAGATACATTCTTACAATGAGTTAAAAGTTCAAACAGAGTAAGGAGAGGGTTTAAAAAGCAAAATTACTATCAAGTTAATTAATTGATCAACACAAAGCAAAATCAAAATAGTGATAATATCAAAATGCAGTAGTGATGAGTGGTAGAGCACTGAAATCATAAGTTCAAAGTTTCGAGTTTGAACCCCACCACGTCCCTGATAATACCAGCTGCCTTGTTCATCAAAGTTTGTATTTCGGAGTTATAGACTTTTTTTTTATTTCACCTCCCCAAGGCCGCTACAGACGGCCACTACAGACAAGGAGGCTACTTAATTGTGGTTATAACCCTCTTTCAACTCTATAACTCCGAAACACGAACCTTGATAAACAAGGCCGCTGCGTGAAGAAACAAGTTGAGCACGGTACTACCAGGGACGTGGTGGGGATCGAACTTGGAACCTCTCGCTTATAAAGGGAGCGCTCTACCACTACACCACTACCGCATTATGTGCGCTCTTCCACTACACCACTACCGCATATATTATATTACCGCATATTACTTGATAGAGGGTTGTAACCACAATTAAAAAGTAGCCTCCTTGACTGTAGTGGCCTTCATGGCCTTGGTAAGATGAATTAATATAAAAAAGAAAAAAAAAGTAATTTAATTGTTTAACACAAAGCAAAAAATGTTATCAAGTGATTCCATTGTTCACCACAATGGGTCTTTAAGTAATTTATCAATAATTCATTATGTCCAAACTTCAATAAATTATTTATTAAAGTTTGGATAACTTTTTGAACATATTGCAAAAATAACTTATTTTTGCAATATGTTTAAAAACTGTATAGTAATTATATGGTTTAGTATATATAAAGGAAGTATTAATGTAAATGCAATATTATAAGTAGTATTGCAATTATTGTAAATAATATTTAAACAAAACCTGTTGCATCTATCTTTTATATCTTTGGAAGCAGGTTTCTTTAAAGCTTTCAGAAAATCAATAAAATCTCGAGATGTTGTCATAATTTCTTCTTTTGCAACTGAAGAAAAAAATTTATAAAATTATAACAAATACAAATCATTTTGGTGTTTTTTAAAGTTATCCATCATTAAGTTTTTTAAAGATTTTCTACATTAAAAAATTTATTATATATATGAGTTTTGCTTTAATTAAAATTTTTATATATTCTTTTGATTTTAAATTAAGATTCAAATAATACATATTGTTAAATAATACATATTGTTATTTCATAATTCTTATTTTTATTTAGTTACTTCTTTAAACTTCAATTTTTTTAATTTTCACTAAACTTGAATACAATTAAAAAAATCTTGCATAAAAACGTTTGAAATCAATCCTAACCATCAAACTTTAGCTTTCTTCCAGAATCTGTGTAGCTTTGAGCTTCTACTTTGACATTTGGACTTTTTGTAAAAAACTTTTTTATGCTATCCCTAAAAATAAAAAAATTATCTAATTTGCAACAAGAAAATAAACTAAATAAACTGACCATATCAATAAAGGTTTAGCTGTGCATAAAAAGTTATTAATAACACTACACAGAAATAGCCATATGTGAGAGAGGGGATTATAGGATATTTACTGACTGAGACTTTTGTTTTTTAAATAAAATAAGAAGTTAAAAAAAAAGTTAAAACTTCATGTCCATCATATGTTAACTGTATCCAAACCTTGATTTGATATATTTACAGAAGTCCTTATAGATATTTTAGTGTGATCCCATCAATCAAATTTTATATACACACATATACACATGAGCATGTGTATATACATATATGTCAAGTCTTTTACTAAAGGACATAAAGATTTTAAAAAACCTCTTGGATTCCTGTTTCTGCTTTTTCTTTTCTTCAAACTTATCGAACTTTAACTGAGATACATTAGATTCAGACGTTGATAAAATATCTAATTAAAAAATAATTTCTTAAATTTTTTTTTTTTTAATTAGAGAATTTTAGTTATCTAAAATTCTCTTATTCAAATTTAAATATAATTGTAAGTAAAAATAATTATTAAAAGTAATATTTTAATAATATTAAATACTGTAAACTATTAAAAAGCTGTAAATTATAACAGTAACTTAAGCAATTTTAAACCTCACTAAATAAGCATATTATGAGTTATTATTTAAATGAGAGATATTATGTTAAAAAATAGCAGTTACAAACTTATGTACAAAAGATTTTGTTTTGTACTGACAACCCCCCTCCCCTATCTCTTACTGCAAATTGGCAGATGGAGAGAATTTAGAGTTAATAAATAAATAAAAAATTTTGCAATGAAATTTTTTTGCATTAAATTATGCCTAGGTTCCTTTTAAACTTTTAAAACAAGAAAATACTATTAAACTGCTAATTTTGTAAAAAAAAAAAATCAAAAATAACACTGTGTTTATAAATTAGCTTCAGAATCAAAAATAACACTGTGTTTATAAATAAGCTTCAGAATCAAAAGCACAAGTAGGCCATGTTTTTATATTTTTATTTTACTAACAAATAATAAAATATAAAACATTTAATCACTAGGTTAAAGCCCTTTTTTATTTGTAGTGAAACAAACAAAAAAAATGTTTGATATAAAAACATCTTACATATGTTTTTACATCAGACATGTAACTATAATGTAGACATTTTTTTTAATTATCTAGATGAAGATTTTGATAAACAGTTTTAATTTCAAAAACTATTTTGATTTACATCTTTAAAATACTGAAAAAATTCAAAAATAGGAAAGTTAATAAAATCTGAATGAATACTTCTAACTGAATAAACATTACAATCTGACTAAATAGTTGTTAACAATTAAATTATTATGACACTATTGATAGTGAATAGTTGTGTGAACTTAATTAGAAAATTAATTTTAGTTATTAAAACTTTACAAACTTTTAGAAAGAAATTCTGACCTAACTCAGGAATAGGTGCAGATAGCAATTCTTCATAACCAGGTTTACTTTGAAATGATACTTCCTTAAAACATTTTGAACAATACCCTTCCCATGCTGGGTTTCCAAAAAATCCACATCTAAGTTTTCAATTAAACAATTAAATAATTAATTTAAATATTAACCAATAATAATAATAATAACTAACCAAATCAAACAACTTAAACAAAACTACAAATGATTACCCAGTTTTACAATAAAGTACAGCACCAAGACGTTTTGATGATGACGGAATTCTGTTATGGTGGTCTTCAAGCCATGCCATTTATTGATATTATTAGTTAATCTTGTATTAGGAATTACAAAAATTATTAATACTAGCTATAAGCAATTACAAATGTTAGAAAAGCTATGAAAACTTTAAAACAATAATTAATTATAAGTATATAATAGATATCATATAACTATTGAATATTAATAAATAAATGATAGGCCAATTGGCTTGTTTTTAACTTGATTATTTATAAAAATTAAAGTATTATATATATCATTTGCCATATATTAGACCTCACTTGTTGTTTTTTTGATAAAACATCAATTCAAAAATGAAATAAGTTAGTAAATAATTAATTTTTTATAAATTTAAGTGAAATATAATTACATATATAATAAGGAAGTTTAAGTTAGGGCTGTTCAGAATAGTTAGGTTTAAGCCATTTTTAAAAATGCTGATTTAAACCAAAAAGTAAAAAACAAGGGACAATCTCTATCTATATTATTAATGTAAATGTTTAATATAAATGTATAAATTTAAAAGCATTAAGAGAAAAATGTAATTATTAAAAGCAGAAAGAGAATAGAGTTAAAGAGCAAGAAAATGGTCAATAGAAGATTTGAAAAGTTGTAGGTTTTAGAGAAAAGTTGTATATTGTAGAGTCAAGTAAACATGATGATGGGAGAAGGAAAATGGGAAGTATGGGAAAAAAAAAAAACGAAAAAAGTTTTTAGAGCATGCAGGGACAGATGAAAGATTTTGCTGAATAATGAGTCAAGCAAAAATTAGTTTTAGTAAATGGAACTAGAAATGAAAGCTTTTTTGAGCAATGACCATAAAACTTTTTTAGAAAAGAGGAAGAGATGTAGAAAAGAGGAAGAAACTTTACAAAGATGGGTGAGAGGCCCAAGCTTGGCAGAGCGAATCCAACTAAAATGCATTTTTACAATGCATTTTTGGTCTAGAAAAGAAAGTGCATCATTCGAAAAACTAGCCCAAATATGACAACAGTATTCCAAACAAGGGCTAATAAGAGAATATTTAAGGTAGAGAATAAAAAAAATATTAAAAGAAATAATTTATGCAAATCACAATATTCACAGAGCTAACTTGAATTAAGAAATTTAGTGTGATTGCTTGAAAATATTTTCTTATCTAAATCACCATTATATTAGAAGATATATAAAAAGGTTGGAAACATTGAACAAGGGTGAATATAATAGATAAGAATATAGAACAAATGCACACCATTATTGAAAAAAACACTCATGCTAATATGATACAACTGAGCCCCTAACATCAATTAAATGTTTAGAATCAATTTTATTGTTCATAATGTTTTTAAAAAAAAAGAAAAGAAAAAAAAGATAAAGTTAAGATATATAAGTAAGAATTATCTCTATTCAGAAACAACCTATGGAGAATACTTGTTACAGAGGATGAGTTGTAGTTTTATTTAAAATAAGTTAATAAAATAAATTTATCATTTAAAAAAAATATTTAAACTGATAACATTATAACACTTTATTCTGACTTAAAAAAGTGCAAAGTAACTGTTTAACACTTAACACTGAAACATTTAACACTGAAACATTTAACACTGGAACATTTAACACTGAACACTGAAACATTTAACACTGAACACTGAAACATTTAACACTGAACTTCTTTACTTTGTTCATTCTAACGTACAAAATCTCTCCTAAAATATTTGTATGGAGCTTAGCACAAATTTTTTTTCTCAATGTTCACATTTTTTTCTCAAAATCTACCTCAATGTTCATTTTATTAGAGAATATAACATTTTGTCAGATGCTATCAGACCAATTTCTATATTCATTGCATCAGGGTATCCTTGCCTTTTTATGTTTTATGTCTTGTTTTCTTGCATCAAGATCACCATATATAAATGTTTTTAGAAAAAACTATTTAAAAAGTTCTTGCATTCGCATTAGTTTCTGATATATTGTTTAATTTATGGATAAGAGCTGTGGGTGATAATTTTCTGTCATGTTTCATTAAGCAAATTAATAAACACTTATCTCTTTGTTTTGTTATAGTTGTACAACAACTATAACAAAACAAAGAGATAAGTGTTGTTGACTATGTTGTTGGACAAACAGATCATCTCTAAAGCTTTATGTCAACTATTTCATTAAAACGTTTTTTTATTTTATTATTTTGTTATTAACGTTTTTTTTTCCTATAAATTTCATTATACAATTTTGAAAACTGTTTTCTAAATAATTACAATCAATTAGGATTTAACACATAAAAAAACAAGTTAGAACAAATTTATGGCCAATGATGTAAATATTTATGCTAAAAACTGCTTTATGTACTGCAGGTTTTTATTTGCAGGTTATGTATTGCAGGTTATGATTGCAAACTATGTATTGTAGGTTATGATTGCAAACTATGTATTGCAGGTTATGTATTGCAGAATAAATTTTTTTATTTTGCCTAGACTATTAAAAAACCTTTGGAGTTTTGATTAAAATTATTTTCATATGATTATTATTATTATTTTTTTTCAAAACTTTATGTATTACTTTTTAATATTTATAACCTAACTGATTTAAAAAAAAAAAAAAAAAAATTATTGTTGCCCAAAACCCAAACCCTCAGCTGATGTAGCAGCAACTCTCTTGTGTGATCTCCCTAACTCAGTTATGTACTGAAACCTTAACAGCTCTCTAATTTTAAGCAAATTTAATGTTTAGTAAAATCTTGTAAAATTGTTTAGCATTACTTAAAAATTCAAAACAAAAATTTAATGTTTAAAATTTATTTGTTTTACATGACTATAAAATATTTTTCATCAATAATGACATGAAATAGAATGCAATATAAATAAACAGTAACACATAGTTTCACATATATCAAAAAAATTAGATAAAAATAAAGTATTTAACATTTTCTATAATAAATTTTTATTTTGACACCACTGAATTTAGCTGATCTCTTATCTTTCCTAGTCCATCTAACATGGTGTCAAGTGTTTGCTTAGAGAGTTGAACAGTTTTCACTTGCACTTTTTCTTCATTAGAGTTTCCATAATCAGCAACCTTAAAAAATAATTTCAGCTTTTTAATCAGAATAATTACATATATATATATATATATATATATATATATATATATATATATATATATATATATATATATATATATATATATATATATATATATGTTAGGGTAGCCCTTATATTTAAACTTTTAAATTATTTAGCTCCCAACCCTATTTCTTGTTCCAATCATGAAAATAATGATCAATACAAAATTTTAGCGTTACAACTTCGGACAACTGTAAGTCGACCCTCATCGTCCATGAAGATTCGAAATTATATATATATATATATATATATATATATATATATATATATATATATATATATATATATATATATATATATATATATATATATATATATATATAAAATAGAAAATGTATTATTATAGTATAATAATAATAATACAAATACTCTTGTGCGTTTAAGAGTGCTCAATACTATTAAATAATAAAGCAATATTTATTTATTTATATTAAATGAATAAAAACAACTTTTGATGGAACTCTGAGTTTCATGCCTTTCGGCAATCATCAGTCATTGTGTATTTCCTCACTTAAAAACCGTTTAAAAATTACAAATTAAAATTACGGTGGAACGAGTTCTGACGTTACCAAACAAAACAAAACAAAACAAAAAGACGTCAAAGGTTTTAGTCCCCGGTATCAAATAAGGATAGTAAAAATTTTTTTGAATGCCGGCACTTTGATATTATTTCATATCTTTTATTAAGTAAGTTTTCTCCTTTATATGATAATATGTGAAACTTTTGATGCTTGATTGTAGGGCTTACATTGTGCTTTTATCTTCCATGTAATCACAGGATTTATATGTTTCGATTTTAGCTCCCATATTTCTTTGGAAAGTTCAGTGTCATTTTTATATTTGGGTGCATTGAAAGATTTAAGATGGTTGGCATATCTTAATTTAAATGTGGTTTCACTTATACCGAAATAAACTTTATCTTTGCATTGAGGATCACCAGAACTTACAGTGGCTTCGTATACGATATTGCTAAAAAGGCATTGGTTATTTAACGGACAAATATTTTTGTCTATGCAGTTACATTTTTTTGATGTTTTATTTTTATCGCTATGTAAAATTTTGTTATTATGTGTATTTATTAAAGACTTGACATTAGGCATGCAACTATAGCTTACTTTAACATAGTTTCGATTAAAAATTTTATGAAGCCTGCGTCCTACTGGAAAGTGTTGGTCAACTAAAGCTAAAAAGCGATTTCCAATTTTAGTTTCAACATTTTTGCTAAACGGGGGGTTGTACCGTATAATTTTACGTTTGCGATGTCTTTTTTGATTTTTGTTTATTTGCGGTTGGTAGGTGAGTTTTGAATTGTATCCTGATTTACGTAAAGCCTCTTCATACGGAATAATTGAGTTATTGAACACAGTTTCATTTACTGCCATATTCGATAATCTTAACTCAATAGTGCGAGGGATTTCTATTAATATATTAGGTGGATGGTTGGACTCTGAATGAACATACATAAGTTGGTTATTAGGTTTACAATACGGTTGAAAAGAACTGTCAATCAGGTTCAATGTTACATCGAAAATTGATAATTTTAATATTACATTGGATGGAGATAAGTAGGTTGTTACTTTTAAAAATATGTGTAAAATGCTTTTTGATTTTTTCCATTTGCTGGCCGCTTTTGTTTTCAAAAATAACAAGCCCGTCGTCACGATACAAGCCAAAATTATTTTTATCGTATTGTTGAGAGAGCTGAAACAACATAAAAATACCAACTAGTTCACAAACTTCAGCTCCATCAAATGCTCCCATTGTGACATCAAATAATCCGCCTCTTTTCTTTACCCAAGCTTGGTTGTTATTAAAAATTAAAGATTTTATTGCATGATATATTATTTTTTTATTGTCATTTTTTATAATAACATGTTGTTCGGCGAAACTGATTGCGTTGGTAAGAATGTTCTCACTAATAGATGGGTAAAAATCATTTATATCAAAAATTAGAAATTTGCAAAGGTGTTTATTTTTGATTTTTTTAAACCAATCGATAACAAAATGGGTGCTTTGCCATTGATTCAACTGTAGTTTATTTTTTAATTTTTGAATAATTTTAGATAAAATAACTTTACTAATTCTTCCTACCTCGTTTTTCGAAGGGTTTAAAAGGCGAACTGAAGGGTTGTTAATAAAATTATCCTTATGGTCTTTTAATGTAAAAAACAGCCAGACGATTCGTTTATCTCAATATTGTTATACACTTCATGGTGGATTAAAAGGTTTTTTCCTTCCTTAATTATTTGATCTTTTAATTCTGGCATCGACTTTTTGTAGGTAGAAGTAATTGCGTTTGTTAACAGTTTGTTGTATTCATCTTTAGATAATTTATATAAATTAGATGTTTTGTGTGCCTTTATTAATGTTTTATGCGACGTACGTATGGATTTTAAGTCTTTTTGCATATTATTTTGAAACTTACAGTTTACGTTGCAAAATTTTATTGACTTAACTAAGTTTATAAGGTCTTTTTCGAAAGAACGCATTTCATTTATTTGTGGTGGGCATTTTGATTATTTGATTCCGTAGTCTGTATAATTTGAATAATTTCTTGGGTAGTTATTTATGAAAAAGAACGCCTTCCATCTCATTTTCTTTATGAGCATTTCTGTTTTGTTTAGTAGTTTTAATTTATATTCTTTTTCAGATGGAATCGGTATATTTTTGATTGAACATTTCAAGTTTATTTTTTCCATTTTTGTTGACGACTTGAGAAGAGTGCTCAACTTGTAGGAGCAAATTTATACAAAATAGAAAATGTATTATTATGGTATAATAATAATACAAATACTCTTGTGCGTTTAACTATATATATATATATATATATATATATATATATATATATATATATATATATATATATATATATATATATATATATATATATATATATATATATATATATATATAGTAGAAAATAAAAATATGTGATTTTCACAACTTTAAGTTTCATGCTATTACAATCATCAGGTGAAATACAAATATAGTTTGTTCGTTTAAAAATTATATACATACAATATATATATATATATATATATATATATATATATATATATATATATATATATATATATATATATATATATATATATATATATATATATATATATTGTAATATATAATATATATTGTATTGTATATAATTTTTAAACGAACAAATTATATTTATATTTCACCTGATGATTGTAACAGCATAAAACTTAAAGTTTTTTGTCAGAAAAAAAAATAGACAGGCTTTTTTATAGATGAAAGCGGCATTCAAAACGCCTTATGAAACAATAACAAGTAAATTTACTTCAATTTTTCCTAATGACTTGGCTACGTATCCAAACAAAAAAATCACTCAATATATGTTGAATAAATTGTCTCCTTGTCCGTAAATGGAAAACGTCACTGAAATTGAGATAAAATGTGGTTTTTATAGCATGTTTTATTGTTGTGACTATGATAGCCCCGTGATTGAAGCATCAGTTTTTTCCAAAAAGCAGAAAGAAAATCAAACTTGATCAACTTTGTCAACTTTATCATTTACTATAAGAGATTTGAAAACCGGAATCAATTCAATCTAAAAATTAAAACTTGTTTCAACACTTTGTCCTTTATTGTTCCCTAATACAATAGAATTTTAGGAAATTTTGTTAATTGTTTTTACATTTAATTCTTTAATTTCAAAATTATATATAATAAAGGTTTTACGCGCATAGAAATTTTCTCGTTATTTTTATTATTCCGTTTTGTATTATTACTTATTTCATCTTCTAAATACATTTATTTTACATTAAAAATTTTTTAATTTTAAACAGATGCAACTAATATAAATTTTACATTAAAAATTTTTTAATTTTAAACAGATGCAACTAATATAAATTGTTTTTTAATTATTAATTGTTTTTTACTTGCGTAGGAAGGTCAAAAACATTATGGGGAGGGCGGAAACAGAAATTAAAGCAAAAAATAGAATTTGAATGAAATTTTAAGAATTTCGATGATTGCGATCTCCAACCCCCCTCCTCCTGTTCTTAAGACAGCGATATTAGTTATGAAATTCTTAATAGTTAATTGTTGTTTTATTATAATAATTATAATATAATAATTATTTTTATAATATAACAATAACTATAATTGTTATAGTAAAACTATAATTAACTATAAAGAATTTCAAAACATAGTATAGTCGAATCATTTTTCCTAAATCAACGCATAAGGCGTTTTGAAAAAAAAATTTAAAATTAAAAGCAGATATTATTTTTAAGGCGTTTTTTGAAACAAGTAATCTTTATAAACTTTTTCACAATTTTTAAAAAATAATTATTCAATATTGTTTGATATCATCTATATTAGCTTATTTTATAAAAAAGTCAATTTTAAATTTTTTGATCTAAAGGCGTTTTGAAAAAGGGCTGTAGCGTTGCGTTTTAAAATAATAATTGGGTGCTTATATTGACCACCAAGAAGCAGCTTAGATGTTAATATTTCATTATTTGATGTCAAAAGCTGATTGATAAAACACTATAGTGTTTTATCAATGAATTATAGCCACAGTTTGACAACTTGTCATATATTGGGTTTTTACTCACACAAACAGTTTAAACAAAAGATAAAACAAAAAATATTTTAAAAATAACCAACAAATGTTTACGACTTTTCATATATTTATAATTTGAAATATGACAATGCAATATGTCCCATAAGTAAGTGCATTTTAATATTTACTTAAATATTGGTTCACTTTAATTAAAACTTTTGTTACAAATCAATTAAAGTAAATGAATTATACAAATATTGTTAAAAATAATGCATAAAAACCATAAAAATACTGAAATACTGGTATTTAAGTCTATAATACCAGTATTTAAAACTAAACAAAATCAACAGGTATATTATTTTTTTGCTATATCGTTATACCAATAATGGATTCCCCAATAAAATCTAAACCTGATAATTTTTACTATTATTTTTAAATTTATTTGGAATTTTACTTCAGTTGGGAATTCCACACTACATATGGTGCCGTCAGACAGATTAAGACCTTATATTATGCAGTAGTGGTATATCGTATTCATTAGCAAAAAGTTTTGAGTTCAATCCCCACCACATCCTTGGTAGTACCGTGCTTTTTTATTTTTATTGAAAAATATTATTGAAAAAGCCATAGCCTGAAAAAATTTTTGAAACCTACTTTTAACCGAAGCAAACATGTTGGTACTGCCATTCTGTTAATGTTGTTTGATGCAGCTACAACATCAAAGCACCAATCAAATTCAACAAGTCTTGGTAAGGAAACTAAATTAATAAAATAACTAAAAATGTAACTTAAAATATAAAAAATTACTAAATAATTTTAGATAAAGAGTTAATGACTTAAAAATAAAATGTACTTGTCACCTTTTTTATACCTGGATTAAAAACATCAGAATCAGACATCCTCTAGAAATGTTTTGATATTCTTCTGCTTTGAACTTTAAATTATTTTGTCTAAAATTTAACTATATGTTTTTAAAAATATTTTATAAACATATATATATATATATATATATATATATATATATATATATATATATATATATATATATATATATATATATATATATATATATATATATATATATATATATACA